TAATAGATGCTCAGTACATATTTGTTGCATTGAATTAAATTATAGCATTGGGTTTTCCCAAATTCTATGAAGCAGATACTCATGTTATTCCCCATTTTATGTGGGAGCAAACAGGCACCAAGAGTTTCCTTTGTCTGTTCAAGGCCACCCAGCGGGCACTAAACCCAATTTGACTCAAGAGCCCTTACTCTTAACTACTATGCTGGATTGATCCCTCTTACTCAAAAATCCTTAGTAAAGTGGGTGGGAAGATTGCTGCAGCTTGTCAACTTTCTCCCTTCTCAATCAGGGCAGAAGCTGGGTGGGGAAAGTTGGAAAAAAAGCCAGAGAGCTAACCATTGTTCCTTTCCTACACAGCACAACCTCAGTACCTCCCTGTCCACTCCCTTCCCACCCACCCTGAAGCCCTTCCATCCAATCTCATCTTCATCTTCATCTCCAAATCCCATCACCATCAAATTCCATCTATTCCTTCTCCATCCCTACTTCATTCTCATCTTCATCCCTATCCCTGTGAGGCAGGGCTTGGGTTGGCTTTGTCCCAGGGCCTGACACCAACATCTGTGACCTGAGGTAGAAAAGGTTTGCTCTCTTCTATACTGTCAACATAAAAATTTCCATAAATTTTCTCTGGTCATCCTTCCCCATTCCTCCTTCTCTAAGATAATTTTTGTGGCCTCCCTTATTTACATATTTTCCAGAATCTGACTTCTCCCCTACACACACTTGTGCAGTCATTGGCATCATTTCCTCAACCCAAAGACACATCAGCTGATTTTGCCTTCCAGTCCACTTCCCGTGGAGAGTTAGTCATAAAGCCCCAGGAAGGGTGGGCCAGTTGACATACATTTGGCATTGTCTGGCATCTGGGCAAGAGTGATCATGGAGTCTTCAGGAGACCCTCACTCAAGCAGTAGCGTGGAAGAGAAGGCAGGGCTGAATAGAATGTTTTGGATAATCAGGGCAGCCGTGTTAACAACATACTCTAGCCTAGCAAGAAGAGGTGAATTGGGATGGGGCAAATATTTTGAGTAATTTTTAGAAAGGAATGAGGAAGGTACTGATGGGCCAGATTGGGGAATAAAGCTAAGGTCCAGACTTAATGGGCTAGTGTTTAGAATTAATGACTGGTTGTGTACTTGGTGAGGGGTAAGAGAGCTGGAAGCCTGTTGGCATGATGTTATTAATCAAGAGGTACATTAAGAATCATCACACATTGCCAATTGTGTAATATATTCTTATACTGTAACATAAGCCCTGACAATTGGTTTTGTCTTTCTTTTCAAACACAAGTGCCTGACTTAAGTTTTGATTGGCATCCACTTCAAAGATGGCTACCTCAAATAAAT